ATTAACAAGCCAACCCTAAAATTCATATAAAAATGCAAGGGGGGCCCTGGAACAGCAAAAAAAAAAATTTTTAAAGGACAATGCTGGATGACATGACAATCAGTGTTATGTGCCAGCTTGACATAAAGAAAGGATGACGTACTGATGCATTCTATAACATCCACGAACCCCAAAACCATTGTGTTAAGTGAAAGAAGCCAGATACAAATGGATAAACTGTGTGGCTCTCTTTATATGATACATCTGCAACAGGCAAATTCAGAGATAGATAGGAAGTAGATGACAGGTGATCAGGGGCTGAGAGGGTTTTCTTTAAGACCAATGGAAACTGTTGCAAATAAGATAAAGTGAGGTTATACAACTCTGTGAATATACTAGAAACAGTGAGTTTTACACTTTAAAATGGTGAACATTATGGTATTTGACCTCTATCTCAGTAAAACTGTTATCTAAAAAAACGAATGTTCTGGGCCCACATACAAAAAAAAAACACTGAAAATAAATTTAGTAAGAGTAAAGAGTACACATGGGATCCTCTGCCTCTTGGGATCTGGTCATCAGTGCTGGCCCAGTGTAACTAAAACCTGAAGCACTCACCCTGTGACAAGGACCATTCTGGGGCTCAGGCATCTCTTCTTTTTTTTTTTTTAGAGAAAAATTTAATGTAACTTTTTAAAATTATACATCTTGTACAGCAACCAACAGATGTAAGTGTAAGTCCTCAATGCAAAATGAAAGGACAGTAAACTGAGAGCCTACTATGAATCATGTGTACCATGATACTAGCAACAGAAAATATGTAACTCCAAATCTATTTCTATCATAAATGCCTTTCTTTACTATAAACTTCTGCAAAGTTTTACTTTCTTTTTTTAATTTTGGTATCATTAATATGCACTTATATGAGCAACACTGTGGTTACTAGATTCCCCCCATTATTAAGTCCCCACCACATACCACATTACAGTCACTGTCCGTCAGCATAGTAAGATGCTATAGAGTCACTACTTGTCTTCTCTGTGCTATCAGGCATCTCTTCTCTACATCTCTTGCCCTCTGTCCTTGGAACTGAAGACAACTGCAACTGGATACTGGGAAAGTGTGTGTGTATACACCTGTAAGTCAGGGAGATGGACACTGTTTGGCCACAGGAAGGGTCACAGGGGCAAAGGTACTTCAGCAAGAGAGAAGATAAATTAACCAACCTGCTAAATTCTTCCCTCCAGTTTGAATGCAAGGGATTCTCACACAATAGACTACCATTCCCAATACGACCAAGCAACTGTTTTCTTGTTTTTCTTTATATTCCAATCAGTTTCTGAAAGTTCTTGCAAATTAGAATAATATTTGCAAGAGTCTCACATGGCTCCGAAAAGTTTTGTAAGACTAAGTGTTATTGTGTCCCCCAAATTTATGATGACCTTATTCGGAAATAGGATCATTGCAGATGTAATTAGTTAAGAAGTCATAGTGAAGTAGGATGGGGCCCAAATCCAACATCACTGGTGTCCTTATAAAAGGGGAAATCTGAAGACATGCACACAGGGAGAGTGCCTTGTGACTGCCAAGGCAGAACTTGGGATGATGCATCCACAAGCCAAAGAACACCAAAGAGTTACAGCAAGTCCCCATAAGATAACAAATTCTTCCCCCAGCCCTCAGGAGGAACCAACCTTGCTCACATCTTGATCTTGGACTTCTAGCCTCTAGAACTTTTGAGGCTATAAATTTCTGTTATTTAAGCCATTTAGTTTCTGTTACTTTGTTACAACAGCTGTAGAAAACCTAATACGTTAAGTAATTCGTATTACTCTTAAATTTGTACATACATAGGATAACATGTGAAGGAGGACATAGATTTATATGATAAAATGATATTATTTTGTAAGATATTCTGCAATAATGATTATGTATCATATGACTCCATTACTATGTTTGAACATGCTATATAAAACTCTTAATTCATTTGCTATGTTTCTTGGCAAATTTAAGTATTGCTTTAGGAATTCATTTATAATTATAGTTGCTACTGGCTCAGGGGAGAGAAATTCTTCCAAATTAAAATTAGTTTTAAAAAGTAAAAATTACAATGACTCAAGAAAGTTTGTCTAATTTGGCCTTGTTGTCAAAGGAATACACACTATGCAAAATATTGTGTGTAAAACAACATAGGTAGTCATTTTGCTGAAATGAAGACAGTAAGAAAAAGAATTAATGAAACTAATATGTAACAATCACTGAATTATATATAATACCTCTGGCTCACAAACAGCATACCCAGACAAGCATAATAATGGCTAAAGTAGTTATTTTGATCACTCCTGGCTTTTAGTCGTATAAAAATCCTAACTTCACAAGTATTTTTTGATTTTGTCATTATGAAGGTAATATTTGTCAGAGTGGGAGGATAGAACATATTTCACTTAATAGTTTGCAAGCTTGATTTATAACCTTAAACTATTTAGGTGTGTGGTATGTGGCCTCCACTTGTTCTCATGCCCCAGGCCTTATAATTGTTAGAGGGGGGCAAGCACCCAGCAATGACAAAAGAAGTACAGCCTGAAGTTATGAACAGAAGCCATGCTAACGTCTCAGACTTGCTCCCACTACATGCTAAATCACCATCCTGTAAGCTTCATGTGAAAACCTGATGCAGTCCCTAGAGGGAGTAACAAGTATTTCATAGGCTTTGCCTTCCGGGCCCATAGTCCCAAGGAGCCTATAAGCCCTTCCCTGGGGTTGCGTAGCCTTGTAGTCTCAAATGGCCCTTGGCTCTCACCAGGTTTCATATACCTAGCACATTTCACTGTTTCAAGTGTTAGGGGTGTGCCTTGGACGTTCATCTCCTTGCAATAACTCTGCTATGCCATTTTCAAGTAAACAGAGCCATGTTATAACTGCACTTCACCCCTGCCTTGAAAAAGTAGTGCGCAATTTTGACAGAAGGCTTTCAGAACAACCCTCAATGCTGTGACATGCTCCATGGCTATCACTCTGTTACAGTGTACTGTCACCTTGTAGTGAGGTTTGCCTGCTTGTTGGGGGCCAGGGGATCGGGACAGGAACTAGAATTCTGTTTGGAGTTGGTCTTAGGAAGAGAGAACTCTTAGAGACATGGTTAAATGCCCACAACTAAGAAAGGAGAAGAAGTGTGCTACATCACCGTTTCCAAGGTAAAGAGAAAAAAGTGTATCAAAATGACAACTGGCAATGCCAAAATGAGAATGAAGACTGGACAGCAAAAGGCCCCATGGGATTTCCAACTTTGATTGTAGCTCCCTTCAAGCAAACATGGCTTTTCATTTCATGCTCTTGCTGACTACTGTGATGGATAATCAGACTGCTAACATGGAACAGAGGCGCTGACATCAAAGGATACTTTTAGCTGTGGTTGAGCATCTTTAAGGAACTCCAGTGCCCTCTCTGTAGACCTCAGCTCATTGCATGCAGTACACTATTTTTGTAAAAAATTAAAAACCATGAGAGACTCACACTGGGTTCATCAGAAGGTGGACATCAAAGAGAGAATGAAAACTTAAAGAAGTAAGGATGTATAAGTGCTGAAAAATAACTTTTATAATAAAAAAGGAACTCTGATGCAAATACAATAGGCAAAAGTCAACAGCCCGTGCTTAACAGTAAAGGCAGATAAGTGAACCACATTAATCAATCTGGGACACAGATTACCAGCCACATTTGAAACACAGATTAACAAGAACAAATAAGGTACCAGGGTGGGAAGCATTTTTACAGCAAGTAACAAAAGTTTTAATCTTTGTTCAAAAGGGGTTTAAAAAAAGATTCCCTGTATCAAACAATAGTGAGATAATTAGAAAAAAAAAAGATTAACTTCCAAAAACGCAAGGCAGAGTAACCAAACTTCTCGTCTGTTTTAAGATCAATCGACATTTTCTACCTGGGCAAGTGGAATGCAATTAGCACTTGGGAAATTTTAAAGTATCTTTTACAGTTGCCTTTAACCAGCTAAGGAAATAGCAGAACAATGTGGCTGAAGGCCAGTGATTATTTTTACCAGTTACCTGTTTCAGTAATGGAATTATGGGCCACTGGGCCTCCAGGCACACACAAATAAATTAAAATATCCCACACTGTAATTAAGTGGCACAGAAGGGATTAGAGCAAATTAAATGGCTGTTATATTTACCAGGGGTATACTCTAGTTCACACATTTTGATGGCCTCTTGGCAGAGCTCAGTGAATTTTACTTTGAAGTCTATAAAATATGGAATATATTTCCTTGCAGAGCAAGGGTTTTAATAAATAGATCTTCCCTCCAAATAAAAATATATAAAGAAAAATATCCTAAATGGATGCTGCTAGAGTGAAAGAAGAGACTCCCTTAGCCAGAATAAAGGACAAATGCATCAACAATAGTAACAGTTAAGGAAACTGGACCTTTAGACTCCGTTAACAAGGGACTCAGAACAAATCGAACTCTATATGACTCTCTGTTCAGACACAGGGCTTTCTTCCTCTATGTAAGCCAGTCTGCACCTGAGTTTTTTAAATGGAATAAAAATAAAGTGATTACTCACTTTATTGTCGACCTGTTCAACATATGAAGCAACAGAAATGCTTGCAGAAATGAAGAACAGACCATTTTAAGCTAAAGACTAGACTACAGTTTCCTAAGCTAGCACTGTATCATTTCTTTGTGTGATTTGACCCATTCAAATGTTGTTGTAACTAAATGTTAGATTAATTTAAAAATAGTAAATGTAAGTAGATAGTTGCTCTGTTTGTTCATAATCAACATCACCACACTGAGATTACTGCCAATGCCAGTCTCCTGTGAATCTTCATATCAGAGAAAAAAAGCAAAATGGAATGAGGGCAGGGTGAATGGAATGAAATCTAGAAACACAGTGTTTTGGCCCAAGCAGAAAAGAAGACAACATTACCTTTGCCCTAGAAACCTCTGGAGAAACACTTAGAAATAAATGGCAAGAAAGGAGATAAAAATACTTGAAAATACTTACGAGGATCCAGGACTTGCTGTGGGAGGGGGGCCTGAAGAAATGAAAGAAAAACAAAAGAAACAGTGAGTCTGGATTATAGGAGGGTGAGTGTGGGTTTAGTTAAACTATTACAGATTAAAGTTCTCAGTCACCCTGAGGTGATATTTATTTTCCTGAGATTTATTATTTTGTTTCAGTTTTCCCAACCACCTCTACCAAAAAACCCCCCAAATCCCCTAAAAACAAAACAAAACAAAAAAAACAGTGAAAACCTGTCTATAGAAAACCTGAACTACCACCACAGTTCGGGGCCTGAAAAATGCTAAGACAAGTGCTCAAAAATGAGTCAACAGAGTAAGCGACCCCACAGCCTGCAGGGAGTTTCCAGTGGGAGGCACAATTACATGCGGACATAATTGCAGCTGCAGGGGTCTTTGATGGTAGCAGGACAGAGGGACATGCATGCTGTAAATCTTTCAATCTTCTTTGACTCTGGCATTGTGGTTTAGAGCAGAGGCTGTGGGGCCAGACAGATCTGGACCCCATTCCTGCTCTTCTAATTACTAGCTGGGCACCCCTGAGCATAGTACTTAACTACTAGGCCTTGGATTACTTATTTGTAAAATGGGTACAACTGGACCAGCTTTAGCATTGCTGGGCACAGAGCACATTGTTAGTACATCCTCATTCCCCACTTCCTCACTCACATGGAACCTGAAGGCTAAAGGGCACCTCCACTAGGAGGCTGCTTACCGAACTTGACAAACAGGACTCCAGTGGTGGAAACCACCTTCTTGCCATTTGTTGCCACGCACTGGAAGTAGCCTGTGTCTGTGGTATCGAGGTTTCTAATCCGTAGCCGAGAACCATAGTTGGTTGCCCGAAAGGAAATCCTCCGGGGCTCCTGGACCACAGGCGCGTCATTTTTGAACCATCGGATGGTGGGAGGAGGATTCCCAGAGACTTTGCAATGCAGTTCAGCTGTCTGCCCCAGGGACGTGGTGATGTTATTCATCGGTTCATCAAGGGTCAGGTAAGAATCTGTAAGCAGAGGGTGGAGGAGGCAGGTGAGGGGCAGGCAGCTGGAGAGCATCTCCAAGCAACTCCAGGCACTCCTGTGTGCCCCAGGCCCACAGAGAGACTGAACAGGAGTAGCTTGGTGGAGACAGACAGGGCATGAAATGATACATTTACTGAGACCCTGTGACTAATAAACAATCACTCACAGAGCCTGCTGCTTGGAAGGACGTATGATACTAACCACAGTATAAAACCCAAAGTTTTCAAATGACCATTCAGTACTCCTGGATAAGCCAAGACAAAACGAGCTTTTCTGTTTCAGAGTATAGGTTCAATGCGTGATCCTTGTTACAGGCTCAAACAATACAGTAAACAAGAAAAAGAAGTAAAATTCACCTCAAATCTCTTCATCCTAAAATAACACCATTTTTAATATTTTGTCAAAGATCCTTCCAGCTTGTCCACTTTTGATAAAAGAGAATGTATGAAAAACTGGAAAAGTAGGAGCAACATATTTATATCCACGTGGAGCAAGATCAGGAAGGATGCCAGAAATCTTCCTGCTAGTGATACAAGGGTTATGAGGCCAGATTACTGGCAGACAGAGTAATGGGGCAATAAATATTTCTATAATGTTACTCATATCAACCATAACATGTTTTAATATATCATTTTAAGCATTCAATTTTTAATTGCAATATAATTTACATTTTAGGAAATGTACTGATCTTAGTTTATAGTTCCATGAGTATGGACAAATGCATAAATTCATGTAATCCGTGCCCCTATCAAGATACAGAACATCATCAATATCCCAGAAAGTACCCCTAAGATCATCTGGAGTCAATCCCTGTTCCCAACCTTCCCCCACCCCCATTCCAGGCAGCTACAGCTCTGATTTCTATCCTCACAGGCTAATGCTGCCTGTTCCAGATTCATATAAATGGAATAGTACTGTATATACATTTTGCATTTGGCTTCTTTTGAGATTACATTAAACATTTTAATATTGAAATAAATTTTCTTGGAGATTATTCTTCAATAATATCATATTTAAGCCCTATATTGATATTAGTTGTGGAATCTAGTTGCAGAGAAAATAATTATTTTTTTAAATCAAGTTCAATATTTTTTTAAAGAATTGGTCTGTTATTCATGTATATGAAGGCTTCTTTGATCTCATTTTCCCTGACCATCTACTCTTGGGAAGACCTCCCTGCCACGTCCTGCCCTTGCCCTCGGTCCTTCCCCGGCCCGACACCTGGGATGGCTCATTAAGCAGCTGTCTTCTCTGCAGGACTAAGCCCAGAAGGGCAGGCATCTACAATGTTTTGGTCATTACTGCATCTTCAGTGTATCCTACTGTCTAGCAGTATTGTCCATAAGGACTTTCTGTAACGATGGAAATATTCTCTAATCTGCACTAATTGATAACCACTAGCCACAGGTTGAGCTATTGAGCACATGAGATGTAGCTAGAACAATCGAGAAACTGAAATTTTTTATTTAAATTTAAGTGGCCACGGGGGGCTCTCTTGTCCCCTCCTGGCATGAACCAGGAGCTCTGTCCTCTCACTTTATTTCTAAATAAAAGCCCCTACCCTGGCTCTCCTACCTTGGGTGTTTGCTAAATTCATTCTTCGACTCCACAAACAAGAACCCCAGCATCATTTTTGGGGACTCATCTGGGATAGCTTCGGAGATGGGAGCTTCCTCTTAAAGCCAGACACCCCGCTGGCATACATTCTGAAGAACTGGGAGAAATTTGATCCCCAGACCCTGAAAAAGAAGTACCTTATCTTCTGCACACAGCCTGGCCTCAAATACAAACTCTCTAATGGAGAGGCTTGGCCCCTGAGAGAAGTATACAATATATTATGCAGCTAAATTTATTTTCATGCAAGGAAAGAAAATAATCAAAAGTCCCGTGAACTACAATATGGAACTAGTTTTCTAAAATTTTTTGGTGAAAATCTATTCTACTTATTGGGGTCATCATCATCTTCAAAAATTGGGAGGTTTTAAAACTAGACTCCCTGAAACGCAAGAAATTTATCTTCTGCAATACAGGCTGGCTTTAAATGACTGGTGCTAGAATTGTACTTGCATTTCATTTCCAGCCACTTGGACACACAGAGTCCCTATCAGTTCAGAGCCTTCATTGGCCCTGTTAGTCTAGGGCAGTCTAGATCTTAACCCAGTTATGTAAACTGCTCGCCCTTAGAGTGTATTCTTGAAAACTGAGATACTTTTAATCAAATAAGCTAAAAAGAAAGAAGGCAATTGGATATTAGTAACTCAAATTTTTGTATCAGTTTATCTGTCTGTGTATATGTTATTTTATGAAAAGTATTGCTAATGTAGTCATTACATCTCAATCTATATGTTTGTGTGTCTAAGTGTGTAAATGAAATATTTTTCTACCTCTGGATGGCATTAATAAAAATTGATTTAAACACACACACAAAAAAAATTTAAGTGGCCACGGTAGCTACTGTATGTATAAGCAGGCAGAGCATAGTAAATTTGTTAAAGGTAATGGAACTTTGTTGAAACACTCTCTTTTTTTGAGATATCTAACTGGCTAATGTAACCACACCAATGCTTATAAAATGCTTTCATAAATGCAAAAATAAACAATTCATTATTTGCTTCACTTTTCTACAAAAACCTTGGGGATAGATGTCAATGTCTGGGTAGCCCCACAAGAGTGTGTCACACATGGGATTGGCATTTATCATGTGCGTGTGGTTGAAAACAGACTGAGCAGGACCATCACTCACTGTGTTGCTTTTCATCTCACTTAAGCCAGTGAGTCATTATCCTTCACAACAGAATCATGAGCCCATAAATGATTTCGCTAATGCCTTGCGTCTTTACATTTATAAAATCCAAAACCTAGCTCTTTCCACTCCACCAGACTGCTTTAGTAGCCTGAGCCCCACTGAAGGATGAGAAAAGAATTTCAATTTCTTCCCCAAACCAGGATAAACTGGGGACACACATACATAACCCACAAGGCTGCATCTTCCCCTAACTCCAGACAAGATTGTCTGGTTAATGGGTCTGGGCTTTAGTCTTGCATTCTGGCTGGTATTCCAGTTTCTTGCCAGAGGCAAGATACCTCACCTGACCTGATGTGCTGGGATCCCCTGCCTATCCCCTGGCAGGCTCTTCTCCTTGAGGCTGAGTACCGTTTCCTATCTCTCCAGCTTTCCATGCACGGGTTGCCATAGTGGCAAGGGAGTGTCATCACTTAGGTACTCCCACAGCCTGGCTCCCCACTCCCAGATTTCCACCTTCTTCAAGTATCAAAGCCAACCAACATCAGCCACACTCCCCTGAGGCCAAGATGACAGCTGCTGGGTGCATGCCTCAGGGGTTAACATTACCTGCTGGGTTTTTGTCAGGTATTTACATCACTTCTACTTTGTCTCTTTGGTTTTCCCAGACAGGTGGTTGTTTCTGAAGTCCCAGCAAACTTTGTGGCCAAGCTCCATAACGTATAATATAAAGGATGAGCTGGGACTTTAAACCATTTATTTTGCCTCCAAACCCATTACTGTACATGATCCCACAATCACAGATACACACCAGTGCTTCCAAGAGCTAGAGAGTTCTATAATTGCGGCGGTGGGGGAAGGAGTGGAGGTATTTCAACTATATTCTGAAGGTGTACTTAACATTCAACTTTGCTGAAAACAAATTAATATAAGCTGATCCAGTGTATGAAATCAACTCTCACAGACTCTAGAGTCAGAGTGCCTGGATTCATGTCCAGGTTCCATTACTTAGCAGCCATGTGACTGAGCCAGGAACGGTGGGTTTAGACAGAGCAGGGTGAGGGCCTCTGGAAAAAACAAAGTAAGATAATCTACTGTGGGATTTGTTTTGGCCTGCTGGGGGGCCCAGCTTGTTTTAATGACTTTACCCAGGTGCTGCTTTTCTTCCTCCAATGCTAAACAAATGATTTGCAACCTGGGCAATGTAGCAAGCAAGCCCAAAACAACATAGTAAAAGCAGGAAAGATGCCATCTTGAAAATAAGATTGCATCTTAAAACCCAATTAATTAAAAAGTAAGTTTCTTAACAAACAGACAATAACTCAGCCCATCTTGGGAGCAAAGCAGGCAGTCTTGAGTGATATGCTCCCAGACCAGGAAGCTGCTATCCTGGGAGGAAATCAGAGCAGTAAAATTCTTGTAAATAACCAGGAAGACTAATAAGAAACTTAGTGTTTCTTCAAAGGTAAACATCTTGGGCCCATTAGCAGGTGTACATCTATAGCCCTGCCTATAAAACCCCTAGACAACTCACCACCCAGGGGCTCTCTTGTCCCAGGAGTTCTGTCCTCTCTCTTTCTCTCTAAATAAAAGCCTCTGCCTTGCTCTCCTACCTTGAGTGTTTGTGAAGTTCATTCTTAGGCTCCACGAACAAGAACCCTGGCATCATGACCTTTGGCAAGTTGCTTAACCTCTCTGTGTTTCAGTTTTGTTATCTATGAAATTAGTATAATAACTGTATCTTCCTTATAGGGTTACTGCGAGGATTAAATGTATTATGGAAAATGCTTCGAATAGGGTTTGGCACAGAGCATATGCAGCATGAGTTTCTGTTATTGTGTTTGCTATTTTTTTTTTCTTTTCTTGGTCTCAAAATACCTTTTCCTAAACATACAGAATGATTATCCATCTAAGTGATTGGTTTCCTGGCCAAGTCCAGTTCTGACTTTACAGAACAGGATACCTGAGGGGAGAAGCTACTTGCTCAAGGTCACATAACTACTAGACTGCGGCAAGAGTGGTTCATCTGTCCATGAAGTGCCATGTAATTTCTACCTAAAAACAAAAATGAGATTTATGGAGCATCATGAAATCAGAGTAGTAGCTGGCCCAAGCAGTATGCTTCCAGAAAGAACAAAGGGAATATAAACAAGCCTCTGTGTTTAATGAACAAAAAAGCCTTGCCACAAACACAGGGAATTTGGTTTTAACTTTTTACCAATAAATAATGTTCAATTT